TGCTGGCCTTAATTTTAGCAAACCAATGCTTCAATAATAGCCGTAATAATGAATGACAGCGCGATTCAACGTCGTCTGACGAAACGATCTTTAAAAATGAAACCTGTTGTTCGTCTTGAAAATTCCCATCATATAAGAATGCGAGGGAGAATAAAAAAAAAATACAACGAGTGAGTGCTGGTGACAGTATTATTTCTTTCTATCTGTCTGTCTTTCTTTCTTTCGTTCTAAATAGCTCACGGGATGAGTGCGTGGCGTCCGCAATAAGGGTTCCCGGATGCTGGTGCTCCTCGGCGCCGCCGCCGTAAAGAGAGGCGGCGGCGGAGAAGGCCTGCTGGAAATGGTGCAGCGGGGACGTGAGGACCCTGGCGGCGGCCTCGCGTCCCCATCCTCCTCCTCCTCCACCACCACTGCTTCCGCCAACCACGACAGTCGTGGAAGACGGGGTGGAGGCGCCACTCCAGCTGTAACTGTAGCTGAAGCTGTCCATCATAGTGTTGTTGGTTGGCCCCGTCGCCGCCGGGAATTGCTGCGATTGCTGGGGGTCGGCGGTGGCGGTGGCGGTCATTGCCGCCCAGTAGTCCGGGGTGCCGACACCACGTCGAGACACTGATGCCCTGGCCGCCGCCGCCGGTGTGGCAGCAGGCCCGAAAAAGTGCAGAGGCGGTGGGGACGACACGGGTCCAGGGCTGAGCGGCGACACAGGACTGGACAGCGTGCTGCTTCCTCCGCCGCCGCAGCCGCCACCACTTTCCCTACTACTCATCATCATCATCATCATCATCATGCCGCCGCCGCCGCCGCCACTTTGCTGGAACACGTCGTCGTCGCAGGCGTCCATCTCCACGCTGGACCGATTGCTGCTCCACTGGCTCTGTGGTACCCAACCCGGACCCGAACCCAACACACGAGTTACATATACGGTACTGCTGTACAGTACTTGCATTTTGTTTTTTTATATTCCTCAGTCTAATGCATTTTTAACCCATCACAATATATGTTATTTGAGGGTGGAAGGGTGGGAACTAACCAAAGAATGGGGTTCAGCGAATGTTTTTGCTGGTTTAGAAATGTAGTATGTTTCTTTTTTAAAAGAGGTTTCAAATGAATCAACAAAGAGTTGAGAAAGAAACATTCCGGGGCGGCTATAGTGCGTGAGTCGGCAATTTAGGGCAATTGGAAGAAGCTTTGGAAACACTGTCAAGTGTTGCTGTATATATATAAAGGTTTCTTCAATTGAATTATTGAAATCCAAAGGTACGTGTGGAAATGACAGCTAGTTTGCATCTTATTCGAGGAGGGATTGAAAAAAAAAGCGTTGAACCTGATGGCCAGTGTCGGTGCTTTGGCGGCCTGCGTCCAAGGACGGCGAATGGTAATGGCTGCCAGGGGAAGCAAAGTGGCGCCAGGATTGGCGTCCCGCACTGCCACTGGGACCAATAATTACCCCTGCACCGCCACCACCACCACCACCACCACCGCTTGCATTGGGGGCTCCCCAGCATGGCCCCGAGGGAGCGGAAAAGCCGCCTTCCGCCACATTATTATCACACACGTTGTTGTTGTTGTTGGTGGTGGTGGTGGTGGTGATGTTGCTGGATGAGGAAAAGGAGGAGGAGCCTGGTGGCGTGTGCATGATGATGCTCGAGCCCGTCCTGCTCAACTTGCGGGGCACCAGTTCGCAGAGGAACTTGTCCAATTGGAAGGGCTCCGTGGCCTGCACGCCCTTGTTGACGTCGTCGTCAATCGTCACGGACATCTCGCCCTTGGCCTTGATGTCCCTCAAACTCTGGTCGTAGTTGACCTTCTTGAACCGGTTGTTCTTCTCCTTGTCCGTGCGGGAATTGCGTCGCACGAGCTTGAGGTAGCGCTTGATGGTCTCCAGCGTGGACTCGGACAGGCCCGAGTCGGCCGAGGACCGCTTGGAGCCGTCGTGAGTGGACCGGTCCAAAGGCACGGGCTCCGCCTCCTTCCCACTGTCCCCGCCCAGCTCGACCTGCACTGCGATGGACGCGCGCGCGCGGGCAGGCGGAGGAGGAGGAGGAGAAGGTTGTTGTTGAGATTGTTGTGGTGGTGGTGGTGCAAGTGCAAGTGCAAGTGCAGTAGGAGGAGGAAGATGGGGTTGCACCACCGACATGCGCGCTGACTGCAGTAATGACTGCTGCTGCGACTGCTGCTGTGATGCAGATGCAAGTGCTGTAGAGTAGCCATGCGCGTTGCTGCCGCCTACTGAGGTGATGATTCGACTGCCGCCGGGGCCGAGCACGAGCTTGGCTCTGTCTCCTGTCACGGGCGCCATTGCCGTCGAGGCAAGCGTGGTGGTGGTACTGGCAGAGGTGCTAGCAGACGTGATGGTGTCTGTCCCGTGGGGTGTCGTCATCGACAGAGGGTCTTTCTTATTGGTGCCCCCGCCGCCGCCGATGCCCCTTTTCTCCGCTGCGGCGGCGGCGGCACTGATGCGACGCGCCTTGAGGGCGGCCCTCGCACGGGCAACCACGTCCTCGGCCTGGATAAACTCCGCCTCTCCCTCGCACACCCTCTGGAACTCGGCTGCAATCCTCTGCAACTCTGCCTCGGAAGGCCCGCCAATCGTTGCACCTCCTGCTGCTGCTCCTGTCGTGCCACCACCACCACCACCTCGTTCTGCTTCTGCCAGTTGTTGTTGTTGTTGTTGATGATGTCCTTCTTCTTCCTCTTCTTCTTTTTCTTCTTCTTCTTCTTCTTGTGCAGCTACCGAGTATTTGGTAAAATGACTGCTGGTGCCTGAAGTCGAGTGTCCTGGTGGTGGTGGTGGCGACACTCGCCTGCCAGAGTCCAGCATGTAGCGCCATGTTTTCCGAGTCAACAAGAACTTGTCAGACGAGGACGTCGACGTGGCGGACATTGCTGCCCAAGACTGTCCCTGGTCCCGTCTTTCTCGTTCTTCTTTGACACTGCCTCTGCTGTCTCCTCCTCCTCCTCCTCCTCCTCTCATTATCTCACCGCCCCAAGCAGCAGCAGGCAGTGCTGGTGCTCCAATTCATCATTCTCCGCCCTTGACTCGTGATGGCGGAGCTCTTACAGCTGTTGTTGTTGTTGCTCTTGCTCTTGCTCTCGGCCTTGTTGTTTTCACTCTCGCTCGCCATCTCTCTCTCTCGATCGTCTGTCCACACACACACACACACACTCGTCTCAGATTATCCGCAATGAAAATGTCCTGTTCGTCACATTCGCGATCGATATCGAGTCACTCAGGCCACCATCAGCACACCGCGTAATGCCAAACAACAACCACAGCACTTGTGTTTCTCTCCCTTCCTCTCTCTTTTTTTTTCTTCTTCTCTCGAGATGAGTGAGTGCGTGTGGCGGGAGTGCTGCTGCTGTAAATTATCGGGGGAAGATGAGAAAAAGGAAACAGCCAAAGAAGGCAGCACTGACACTGATGTGGAGAGAAGAATATAGAGAGCATGATGATGTGAGAACAAAGAAAGAAAGAACGAACGAACGAACGAAAGAATAAACAAAACAATAAACAAATAGGGCCAACATTGACTTGCTGCACTGCACTGCTGCTATACTGCTGCTGCTGCTGCTGCTGCCGACCTGCTGCCGACCCGGTCGGGGTGGCGTGGCGTGGCGTGGGGTGGTGGTCGCAGAGCAGGCGTGAAGCGAGGGAACCAGAGCACGTCTGCGGATGAGGAGCGGCGTGTGTGTGCGTGTGGAGCAGCGCAGAGGGAGAGAGAGAGAGAGCAAAGAAGGGAGGGGGAAGGGAGCAGATGTGCATGCCTGGATCCATCACAGGGTGCTGGTTTGTTCCGCGGCACACGCCAAACACCCAAGCTGTCGAGTGTGTCCATGGCAGAGAAGACGATACGAACAACAACAAACAACACGAAGAAGGGCGGCAGCACCACGCTCGAGAGAGTGCGACTGCGTAACGCACCAGCACACACCCTGCTGCCGGTCTGCAACCCGAGCAGCTGTCTGTCTGTCTGTCTGTCTGTCTGCTAACTCTGTCCTCGCGACGTCGGGTCCGTGTCCCAATTCCTCTTCCTTTTTTCTTTTCTTCATCATATTCCGGATGGAACACAGTGCGACCGTTTTCTTGGCACAGGGACAACAGCACACACGGGTGCAGGGGGGGGGGGGCGGAGAAAACAAAAGACAGAAGCAGGGCATTCCTTTCTTTCTTTCGTCTTCTTTCATTTTATTTTTTCATCTTTTCTTCTTCCTTTTCGTCGTCTTCTTCTTCTTCTACTTTTGCTGCTTTCGTTTGCAGCTGCTACTATGCTATACTGTATCACGCTATATACCGTCCTGGTTATTCTTCAACCAACCAGCCATACAGCCTATATACAGTATAGCAATTGAAGAGGAGGAGCGGAGGAAGTCCTGGGTTTGCTTGTACATGCGCGACACCTACACACGCGCTTGTAAAGCACGCCGAGAGTCAGTTACACTTCTAGAAGCCGAGGTGGTGTCGCATTGACAAGCGTATTGTACATGTAAGCCATAGGCGTGCAGAAGCACCCACGATGGAGTTTGTAGCACACACAAACTGCGAAGAGCAGAAGAATTTAATTTTCAAAAAAAAAAAAAATGCACCTTCTTTTGAGGTAATACAATATTAAAACCAAATTGATTTCTCTTGTTTCTCAATTATTACGCACATGGCTCCTGAAAAGAGCACACATCAGTCTCGCGCATGTTGATTGTTTGCTGACGTCGTGTCTGCGTGCAGCCCATCCATACAATTATTTCTAGTGGCCTCAGTATAGGTCACCCTTCATTTTTCAACATGCCTTTTTTTGTTGTTGTTGGGCATTCAAAAGAAAAATGTATAGAAAACAAAATACAGGTCCAAACGTGAGCGTAATATAAATTAATTACTTTACTGTGTGTCCACTGCCAAGAATCACGTTTATTTGTCTGGATCCAACATTGTTTAGTTCTCTCAAGTCACGCCCACCCCCTGCAAAGGAAGGGCTATACAAAGGGGAGCCCAACTTTCCGCGATTCTTCAGTAGACCGATTATTTCATGAGCAGGATACTGTATTGCATTGAGTGTTGGTCAGGTATTGGCAATTGAGAGGAAATAAGGAGAGATAGAAAATGATGGGAAATAAGCCTGCGGTCCTTTCCTTGCTTTCACTGCTGCTGCTGATGCTGATGCTGGTCGTGGCCTTTGGAAGGGCTGCACAGATTCCTGTTGCATCAGCAGGAACCTATAATTATTCTGGGTGAGTACAGTATTGTATACTGTATAACAATAATGATGTGTTCAGTGTAAGACGAGGTTCTTATTCATTAGCCACATATCACACTGTATAATAGATGGAATACGTATCATGATGATGATATATTGCAATAAGAAATGATGCTTATATTTCCTGGTTCGTATCATTTGTCTCATCCTTTTCCTACGCCTATATATGCATGCACACATCATGACATGAAACAAACAAACAAACAAACCAACAAAAAAAGAGCCCCGAATCCCTATAGCTACAACAACCATTACAATAACCCGTTGCTGACCTTTCGCGACCCGCCAGTCGTCGAGAATGGGAGTTTTCGCTACACCCGGAATCTGCTTTATTGCACGCAGATTTTCGAGAAGCTCTTCAAGGACTTTATCTACGCCAAAATGACCCGTGAGTGAGACTATACTTTTCATCTATATCCTAATAATGCTGAGTAATTCATCTTCATCTTTCTTTCTTTCTTTTTTTTCTTTCCTGCTGTTTTCTTGCGTAATTCTTTGTCACTTTTGCGCATATTCCGTTTTATTGCGGCAGACGTACAGACATTATTTTAACAAGTACAGCAAATGAGGCAACTTTTAAAGTTGTCTATATACACTGTAATCTCTCTTTCGAGCGGAAATTATTGACTGCTGTGGCAACGTTTCGTGATTATATTCGCCGACCAATTGAAAAAAAAAAAGAAACTCACCCCGGAATACAAAGATGATTTTAAAAATATATATCGCGATATGTGATCAATTTCGTTGCTCTGTATTATTATAACAAGTTTTATTTTATTTTATTTTATTTACTTTTTTGAATAGATGTCACTCGGAATCGAGATATAATTTCACCTTTATATAATCCGTCAGTGCAATTTTTCAAAAATAATTTCTTACGAACTTGACTTGACAAATTGTATCTCAACTTCCGGATGAGTCAATGACGAGAAAATGCTCAACTTGTATGTTTATTTTGCGAACTCCAGCATATGTTATGTATATAGTTGAAAGTCAGATGACCCGGCCAGTTGAGTGTGGATTGATTTATTGAAAATGAAGTGATTGGTGTTCGTCGTCGATGGGAGAATAAAACACGTCCTTTTTTCAGTTACAGTATTGAATTATTTTCTTTTCTTGTCTCTTTTCAAGTTCTTGAAGCGGAACATCCAGCCAAGGTTGCCGCAATCAACGAAGTTTTGGGTGAGTAAAACTTTGATTTTTTTTCTGATTGCATTTGTGTACAGTATAATAAATAAGCTTTGCATTTACTATATGAGAGGGTCTCGTTGAAAACGTCTGCTTGGTGGTACATACGGTATATATATATTTTACTTCCTTCCTTCCTTCTTTATATTTCAGCCAGAGGTTGGCAGGATGTTCAGCTGGCAGGTCAGTTAATTTGCAAGCCTTCTTCACGCGCAAATAATGGTGTAGGATCAAATAACCCTGTTCTTTCTTTTTTTCCTTTTTTTCGTTGTCATCATTTCACCTATTTTCTTCCTTTTCCCCCCGACAGCTGGAGGAAATGGCCAAGAAGAATGAGGCAAAATAATGATTCAACACATCAACAAATAAGGCCCTTCACCCTATAAACGCAAAAATTGGCCAAAAACCGACATGAGTGACGGACGAAGAGGAGTCGCGGGTGGTTTTTTTTTTTTTTTTGCAATTTATTTTTTCGTCGTCCTTGTGGATCCGACTTTGAAATGAAATAGATATCCATTTGCGATTTATATTGCCCCAATCCAATATTAGCAACAAGACTATTCTCTGCTGAAAAATATTTGATTGCTGCGATATATTCATGATGCCTCACTGAAGTACTGTATTCATTTTTTGTGGCCTTCTATACTGTATAATATAAGAGATCACGTAATGTAAACACTGTACATCAAGTCATGGTTTCAAAAAGTTTAAATTATTATTTTCAAGATTTTCTAAATATCCCGAGTTTTCCTCACGTGTGTTGCCCCCACTCAAAACACGTCTTTTTATTTGTTCAGAATGCAGCAATCAATTATTGGTTGACAAACCGGGGTTTATTTCTGGCAAAAGTGTGTCAACCAAGGGTTCGCTGTACAGCAGTACAAGTACAAGTACGATAGAATTTGTCTACAATAAATGCTAGCTGTCAGCAGTTGTATCGTTGAATTTCCCTCTTGAATTTTTTTTCCCTTTTTTTAAGCCCTTCTCTGTTTTTTTTTTCTTCAATCAATCAGAACTTTCAGCATGGAGAGTCAAATGAGCGGACGCTATGTGTTCTAAATATAATGTGAAATGGCATCGATGAACTAATTGATTTATATTGTGCAACTTTGATAGGATAATTAGACGAACTTTCAAAAGTGCTACTTGTTCTGAATGCAAGAAACCCGAATAAGGAGCCAATCAACATTTTTTTTTTCTTTTTTTTTTTTCAAATAGAACGGTAACTTGTATAATGTTCAGTATAACTCCAAAACGGTAAAAGCCTTACTTGAAAAGAAAATTGAGCCACACGAGGAAAGCATGCAGGTTTTGTTTTTTTGCTAATTTGTCTCGCTGCTGGTTCAACCTTTTCTCATATACTGTACAAGTATTGCAACAAATTAGAACAACCCCGAGGCCGGCTAAACGAGGTCCACATCCAGCGAGGGAACTTTGATGATGTTGAGTAAGAAATATTACTGTAATGGACTTTGGAGGCCATCGACAAACAGGAAGATTGAAAGGGACAATCAAGGTTTGTTTTAGATATACTGTGCTGTACACATACAATATCTCTTCATCATCTGCGAAGGATGCACTTTCAGCAGCTAGGTTTTCTTTCGTGTTGTTGCTTGTCGCATCATCCTACAGTACAGTACAGTATAATCAACAAGAATGAGTACACTTGAAATACTGTAATTCCAAGGTTTCAAATGTGAATATTACGAATGGTTTAAAGCGACGTCATGTATGAAGGGTTCAGTACAGTATATGAGTAACGTCACGTGTGACGGACTTTTTTTTTAACACGTCTTTGACACATCTAGCCTCAATAACAGCATATTTTAATTGCCACCACAATTGGAAATTTTTTTCCTGCCAAGTACTTTCGGTGTATATGCAAATACTGTAATTCATTGAGGTTCTCATGAATTCCGAGTGTACAAAAAGGAGAAATAATCCATGTAAGTGTCCAAATACAGTATCTTCATAGAGAAGGATTTCAATTACCGTATACAGTATGCCTCTTTTCTTATATGCATTAGCATTTGTAGAATTAAACCTGGTACAGTATTTATTTCTTCATTCCCGCGTCTCTCGATCTCGCCTGCTGAAATAAATAAAGTAAGACACATCGATTCGTCAATGTAATCTTTCATTACTGTTCTAGTTACGTAAGTCTTTTTTTTTTTTTTTAAGGAAAAAGCAGGTTTTTTTTTTTACTTTTTTCTTCAACATTCCCATGCTGTGGAATATATGAAGGAATGCGTGACTTTGTTTCTCCTGCTTCCTGCTTCCTGTTGCTGCTGCTGCTGCTGGTGCGAAACGACTTTTAATTGATAATGGTAACTATATTTTCTGCTTCACCAATTTCTTGGTGTCTTTTTGGCACGTAGAATGTCAATTTTCCCATGAATCGAGAATATACACACGCGTGTTTTCCGTGGTAAACTCATCGAGTGGATGAAGACCCAACATGCAGTCACTCAGGATTCAGGAATTGATTGGTTGTCTCTCACTACAATCACGAAATCTCTTCATGTAATAACCGCATGCTGATGGGGAATCTCGGCAGCCCATGTACTGTATGATTATACGAGGGACCAATCATTGGATAATTTGATTGACTCCTCAAGAAGCATGCATTTGTCTTTCATGCCACATATATCGTACGGTGTCTTGTTTTTCTCTCTCTCTCTGTCTCTCTTTTGCATAGCAGGAATTAGCAAAGAAATATATGCGCAAATGAAGGAACGGACTCGTCTCATTCCGTCGTGGTGAACTGAGCCGAGCTGATCTCTGATCCTGATTGATTGATTGATTGATATAACCAAGAATATACAGCGGTAATATACCAATATATATAGAAAATTACGAGTGTTTGGTTTTTTTGTTTCCCCCCCTCTGCACTTGCTTGCTTTTTTCATTTGCAGCTCCTCGTTAATTTCTCGAGGAACCCTGAGTAAAACGGAAGATAGAACTTGATCAGATCATGAGAACTTGCTGGGTTACGGTGCTGGGATGCGCAAGCATTATTCTCCTCGTTTTGCCGGGTGTTATTGTGCAGGGCGAAGGGGCTGCAGCTGCTGGGCCAACTATGCCCACTACTGGGTGAGAAATAAAAAAAAACCACACTATTACGTGCTGTTTTTCCGAGTCTTGTTGGATTTTAGAAAGAGTAAATAAATGTAGCATTGTATTTGCCAATACTGCTGCTGCTGCTGCTGTCTTATTGAAGATTTACCAATAAGATTTACTTCGTGATGGTAAAAGGTTCGACCCCCAGGAGCTATATACTGTATATAAATAGACGAAGACTCATCGAAGCATAATAATGAGGGTCCTAATAATAAGAATAAAATGATTGAGGAATAAAAATGCAACTATAGAGTATGATGGGTTCATTTCGAGCAGAAATTGAATGGTTGAACATGGACAGCGATAAGTTTATCTCTCTTTTTTTTCTTCCTTTTTTTTTTGAAGTTGATGAATGTTCTCTCAGCGCAGCATTTATTCTTACGTATACTTTGAGACCCTAAACATCACCGATTTCATTCCATTTTTACCGCATTTTTCACCAAAAAAAAAAAGAAACGTTCAGATTCCCTATAATAAATAAGTCACGATGAAGCCTGGAGGTCATATTATTTTTGCATATTTTTTCAGTTCAACTTGCAAATGTCCAACGGCTGCATTTCATAATATATAGAGTGCTGGGAGATATATTCAGATTACGACTACCTCAGTTGTGCTGATTCTTTTTTAATCGTTCCCCGACGACCCTGTTGTTGAACCATCAGTACCATATATACAGTACAGTATACCTCATTGCCCTTTTGTCCGCACACGCAGGTACATGAATGAGGAATGGCCCTTGTACTACTCCTCCGTGGCTTTGCAATGTTCGTCCATTTTTGAGGGTTTCCTCCAAGAGTTTGTCAGGGAGACTCAGTATGGTGAGTGACTTTCTTTGTTTTTTTTCTTCTTCTTCTTCAACTCACTATAGTATAGACACTGGCTTTTCAAGGAAATTTTCAACCCAAAATTTAAAGACGAAGAAAATTTACCAGCCGCGGCAAGTTTTCAATCAAGTTTTATTTCTTCATCATGAAATAAAGCGTGAATTGCACATTTAATAAATTGCGTCTTTTGAAAAAGGAGGTTATGCTGAAACAAGTGTTTGTTGAAAACTCGGGTTTCATCCCCCAATTTTTGTAAGGATGAAAATGTGGAATCCACATTTAAAAGCAGTTTGTCGTCTTGAAAAATCGGTACTGTCCTCAAAAATTGAGATGAAATACAAGCCCATTTTTTCGAGAGCTAAAAACTCGCTCGCACTATAAACATGTTGTTCATCTTGCTCTATGTAGGACGAGGGTGAAAATCGGAGCCAAAATTGTTTGTTTTATACAGCAGAATGTTCGTACAACGAGGATAGACTAATTTCCTAATTGTTAGATTGCACTGTACTGTACTGTATTGCATAAGCTAATTTCCAGCATTTTGGGACGACGAATGTTTTCGGATCGTGTAGGATTTCGTACTTTATTATACGCGACTTTACTCAACATAATATATCGTCCGGTGACTGAAATAAACGTGTAAAGAATAATATGGTGAGGTGAAATAACATATGCTCTGATTATTCCTGCTTATGTACAGTACAGTACAGTACAGCAGCATTTTCTTTTTTTTTTTTCCACGAATAATGCACAGGCATGGACGCAGCCGCCCAAGCTACCAACCAAGTCGCATCTGCTGCTCTTGGTGAGTTTAACTCCGTCATTCTGGTCGAGATGTCGCCATCTACTCTATATATCCCGTATAGTACAGTACAGTATACAGTACTGTATATAGAGGTAGTATTTTCATTCAATTTTCGCGTTTTCAACAGGTACAGGCGGTGCAAAGGAATGAGCCTTGCAGCAGCCCCGAATAATGCTGGGCTGATGGCTTCACCCTCATACACAATATGTTCCCGTCATTGTTTATGCACGTACTAATAAGACTGTGAACGGTGTTTTTCCTGCTGTGTGCTGCAAGATGAGGCAAGAGCATTATTGTCGTCTTCTTTGTGTTCCCCCTTTTCTTCATCGCCGTACACCCCAACAACAACAACAACAACAACAAAACCATAAATATGTCCTCTGAATAAGGTTTTTCAACTTCCGATTGACAAAATTCATCGACTGATCCGCCGGAACACCTGCATTATTTATGGTGACTTGCATAATCAAGAGATTATTTTCGAGGGAGCAGCGGAAGACATTCTTTGCAAAATTGCTGGAAATTTGAAAATGGAAACAGTTATCGTACTATCGAAGATAAATAAATGAGCTGGAGAATTTCCACCGATTTTAATCCGTTTTCTTTTTTCTTTTCAAATTGAGTTTTTAATATTTGAGCAGAATTTCAAACCCGCTTATTTCCTGCTGGCAGTAAAATGAAACTGAAATGTTTCCAAAGATTTCCTTATTGATTCAATCGCAGCACTATAGTGAGCCAACGAAAAACCAACTGCAAAAAAAAAAGAAACCTTTTTTCTGAAGTTTGAAACGTTGACATTAATTTTGAAAGTGTATATAAATACTTTAGTGTATATGCTCAACATATCATTCGTATTACTATTTCTGAAATAAATAAATACAATTTACACGCGTTTCTGCATTGTCAACATTAATCTTCAACAATAAGTACTGTATAGTGGTTCATAACGTATATGGATAAAACAGCTGAAGTAAAGTATTTCCCTCATCATTTTGTAATTAATGGTTGACTCGTTGAATTCCTCCTCTCTCTCTCTCTTCAATTCAAGCTAGCTTCAAATTGAATGATAATCGAATACATGCAATCTTCTTAGCTGCCATTTTCTTTTTCGAAAGATAACTTCCTATACCAGAAGTAGTCATGAATTATGATTTGCCTGAAAATTTTTTCAAGTTTCGTTCTTCCTTGTATAAGTGAGAAAAATGCACGCTTCCAATGATAAGAGATGCAAATTAGTTACATTTAATTTAAAAAAAAAAGAGATGACTCATCGGAAGAATCAAGTCTTAAGAGAATAAAAGATGCGCTTTATTTATTGTTTTCAAAAATCTCGATTCGGAGAAAAGTTGTCCTCATGTCGTCCCGAGCAACACGCAAAGCGATCACAACAGAATATACGTACAGTATGTACCGTATACTGTATATGTATCGAGAGTAGAGCGAAGAATGCATATTACACGGTGATGAATGAAAATTAAATGGAAATTTTCCGTACATAATATAAAAACTAGTCCTGCGGCCAGCTCGATGATGTTGATGATGATGATGATGGGTGCTGTGGCCCAGCTTCATCACCGTGAAATTCAAGTTTTTCTTTGTCAACGTTTCCCTTCCGGCTGATTTGTTTCCTCGTACACATGTGCTGTGGGGAATGGCGAGCCGAAAATGAAAGGACGAGCAGAGAGGTTTGTTTTGTGACGGGCTGAGGGAAGTAAAATGGCCCGTTAATTAACCCGGGCCCTGGTCTCCGGGTCGGCGCCAGTTGCCCCGAGAATCAACAGCTTCTCGACGCGTCGCCGACACGAACCGTGACGAGCACACGAGACACAACACGCCGACAACGAGGATGAAGACGAGGGATCCCGCGATCCCCAGCCCGAGGGCCACGTCTTCGTCGTATCCCATTATTTTTGAGGATCCCCTAACTAGTTTCCTTATTCTTGCTTCCGTATTTGTTCCACGTCCCACACTATGGACTTTTCATGATGATTATTATTATTTTATTGCGGAATCAACCCTGTAATGAAGCAGTGACTGTGATTGTTTTTGGTTTTTTTTTTTACATAAAGCACTGCATGAATGCCTAAATCAGTATTTTGGAAATTGAAGACACGACTTTTTTCTTCAGTTGCACTCGCGGTTGAGCGACATCTGCCAAGAAGCATCAAAGCACTGTTGCCAAAGATCTTTACGGTTGCCATCCGGGGTCACTGCAATAGATTACCCCGTTGAATTACACTACACATTTAAATTCGGCTATTTGCTTCACTATATTTTTTTTTCTGAAATGCGTCGTTCGTAGCATGTTTAGAATCGTTTTCCCTCGAGTTCCTCGTCGTCGTCAAAAACGGGGAAAACTTAGTTGGACACCAACGCTTCATTGTCATCACGAAGGTATGAAATACTGTAGTTGAAGATTTAACTTATGCTTGACTCAAGATTTTGGTTTCGGAAAAGCCTACTATCTAGGATTCTAGGACAATGACATACGCAAGATGGGGATAAATATTGTATATATTCGGGGTGATCGTCTGAGTCAATTGCTGCATTTTCAAACATAAAATCCAAAATTAAACCGAAAACTCGATCAAGTTGGACCTCTTGGAAGATGTGACATCTATATAGTTGAGTTAGTGCACTGCTCAGCGATGTCGGACATGATCTTCTGTCTCTTTTTTTTTCATTTCCGTCTCGCAATATCGGATCCGGGAAACTGGTCTTTTTAATTTAATTTTTACTACGTTCATATATGTTCCAATGTCCATTTTTCATGACGAATCACTCGAAGGAACTGACAATAATAATACCAACTCCAAAAACGTCGGTTTTCCACTGAGCTTATTTTAAAACTTCATCTTCTTTCACTTCACAATGAAGTCTATTTATGCTTTATATTGCTTCTTTTTTGGTTTACACCAGCGTCTCATCGTCGCAATCCAGTGACTTTTTTAAAATTAATTTTTTCGATATATAATCAAGGAAAATTAAAAAAAAGAAGTTTTCACAGTAAAAGAATTCAGTACTGTACAGTCTCAATTCCGGTCATGGCCAGCATTTAATAACATGAAATTATGCGGAATAAGAAAAGGGCTGCATGCTGGTTACAAGCACCAGGCCAGTACAGTACTGTTTAATAAAAAACAACGTGTTTGTCTTTTTTGTAAATGAATCAAATTCAAGCATTACACAGGCACTCATCAATCCACCTTTGTCACGTCAATCTATTATTTGACACAAAGAGCCTCGATCCGTCGGAAATGTATACGACGTTCAGTGTATATACTGAAATACACAATTGCACTCACTGCAGTACGCATAAAATTCTCGCTCCTTCTGATTCTTTTTCTGCCAAAATTCACTGAGATATATCAAGAAATCCAGACACACACAAAAAAAAAAAAGGATGAAAGCAGATGATACGCGTATATAATGATATAGAGATGCGAGAATCGTCCCTTTTTTTACACACGGCTCCCCAAATACTGCATAAAATACAGTATGTACCCATAACTATAATCAATCAGTTCAAAGCATATATATATATATTCGCATAATTTCACATATTTCTTCCCTCAACTAGAGAGGCTCTCTCTTTTTTTACGTTGCTCCTGTTGCTTTAGAATAAGCTCTGAAATGTAAGGTTCCGAATACAGTATCAGGGAAAAAATCCTGTGCTCGTATATCAGCAGCGCAGGAGTCGAAACATTTCCCGATAAGATTTCAGAAAAGTTGACACAGAAGATAAAGAATAAGCCCGAGTTTCGGGGTCTTTGTTATCTCGAAAAACTTTTCATCATACTGCATATACGCATGTTACCAACAACGACGACGAGAAAGACAACCCCAAGCAACAAAAAATAAATATAAATAAAATTAAGTGAAATGAGGCATTCTTTTCCACGTCGTCGTCGATCGAGTTTGAGATAGAAAAGAGACGCAGTAAATATGTCGGATGGATGGATTCCTGGTACTGTATGACATACTATTCTCATCATCGACTTTCAAGAATACCATATACGTGTATGTTTAGTCTTGTATTTATGGTATGCATAATGGCTAATAATTTCTTCTTTTTTCTTCTTCTGCTTCGATACCCATGTCGTACCGTATTTCTTTCAATGGCTTTTGGAATCTCGGCGCGGCATACGAATAAGGATCCCCCAAACTAAAACAGTACGTTTCTGAATTTTTTCGTCTTATTCATGCGACAGAATCCCGTGAAAGGTTTTGGATTGAAGTGGAACACTTTTAAAAATAAAGCTGGACGATGGAATGACTCATCGCAGAAAGTCTTGAATCATTTCTCGTTAACCACAAGAAGAAGAAGAAAAAATTTTAATTCAGCGAAAACAATTCCGACAATCGGGAAATTAATGCTCGGATAATTTGTTGAAAAAATACAGTTCCTGGAATGTTTGCTGCAATTTCAGTACTGTATATGAGGTGTTGAAATTATTCGAAGCATTTCGAAGCTCGGAGAAATTAACTGTAATCTCTGAGTATATAAAACCATCATGCTACGAGATTCGACACTTGAGAACTGTAACCTTCTTTTCTCGTTCATCAGGCTGATTGATGACAATTTCCACTTTCTGCATGCCTTAGTTTTGGTTCAATGAATGATTCAGACAGATAAATTGGGACACTTTTTCGTGAACGTACAGTATATCAAGCCTTTCGTGGACCAAGACATATGCAGGGAATGATGACCAATATTATTGGAAATCATGGTGAGTCAACCTCACTTTCTTGGAATACAGTACTGCAGTATAGTGTCTCTCGAGCGATTTTAAATGACAGAAATGCATTTATTTAGACAGGGAAATATGTGGTGCAGTATTATAGCAACATCATCTCAACCATTATTTCGGCGATTTTTTTGCTTTAGAATAAATCTGGTCTCGTGAGAACTGAATCATTGCATTTTTTTTTCTCTTCAAATCTGGAAAAGGAATCCCACGGTCGAAATGCGAGAGAATGAAAGCTCCTATATATACTTTTTAATGCACAAAAATTGGACGTACTGTACTTTATATACTATTCGAAGTTGAGTACTGTATCTGATTTAATAGCTTTCACGATTCTTGAGGATTCTTTATGGCCATTGAAAGCATTGGGTATAATCCCTTTAGTCGCGGCCTGATTTCAGACGAGTGCGCTTTCCATTAGTCAGCGAGTTGAGATATTTTACCACGTTTTTATGAACTCACTTTTCTTGTCTGTCTGTCTGTCTGTTTGTCCGGATCAAATTTTGAAACTCAAATTTCACTCACTTCCAGACTAGCTAGCAAGCTGAAACTTTCAGGATAGCTTAGAAACTGATGACAATGCAATCTTTTGTGAAAAAATTAATTTTAAGAATATTTTTTAAAAAGAAT